CTAACATACTTAACTAAACTGATTAAAAGATATGACCGCGACGGGAAAATTTGTCGCGATTTATTTGATAGCAAAGTAAAAGCATGCTCATTCGAAATGAACAAAAAGAGACAATCAGTTATGTAAGAGCAAATAGTTCAGAGATTGAGTGAGTGACGTAACATTATTATTCTTGCACTTATCCTCATCAGTGACAATCACAATAAAATTCTGAAAAGTAGTTCGATTTCTTGGCGATAATTATGACAGAAATAAAGTGTTACTGTCAATTTGATATAAGTTGATGAACAGGCTATCTATGAAAAATAAACAAACAGTAACGATGGATAGCTATGCATCGAGAGAATTTTTGTAAAGTTCTTTAAGTATTCAATTAAAGTTAAATATTAAAGTAAGTACATAAATTGAATAACTTACTGTATCTAACTTTCGAAAACTTATTATGTACACTTGCGCTATTCCTAAATTTCTAGGGATTACCTGTAAATGTATTAGTATATCATTATTGAACATATTAATTTTTTCACAGGATCGAAAGGGTGTAAAAATATTTTAGTTAACTTATTTTTTTCATAAAAAATGAGTGGACCGAAACCGAAGGCACATAAAAATAGTTTTTTCAAACAAAAGTAAGTACTAAGAAAGATAACGAAAAGAATATCGACTAGAATTATTAAATAATATCTAAATGATACATAACATATGTCCAAAAGTCTCTTGTCATAATTATTTATCATACTATTCCAACTAATATTAATACATACTGTGAAGGTCCCATCTATGAAAAGTTGAGAAATCAACCTCAACGCCTCCAAGGCCGTATCATCGATGAAAATTAAACATTTTGATGTATCTGTGGCTACAGCTATTCCTCTGTATAAATTGTTTATTCGGTGGTATTCAATCAACATTTCATTTAATTGCTCTAAATTGTTCGGCGTACCCGGAAGTGTTTGATTAAAGACACGCATAATTATTTGCTTGAATTTTGGATAATATCCAATATGGTCATCAGCTTGTAATGGTGCATATCTATTTTCATCAAATAATTTGAATATTTAGATTTTTTGTTAATTTTGGTATCGGAAAAAAGAGACAGAGAGCATAATAGTTCAGTTGAATTAGACAAATAAGTGTCGAAACAAAGGTGTAAGAGGTAAGTTTGTTATGATTGTTACAATTGGTCTAGAATAACAATATGAATTGGGGGTGCGCGAACGATGGTCTCTTATGATTTTACGGTATAGCTCCTTTTCCAATACCTTCGGACAGGAGCTTCGTTTCAATATTATAATTCAACTTACTGATATCAGCATATTTTTTGTTGTATCTTTTCAAAAAAGGTCTTGACTTAATTCATATTGATAAAAATTAACTGGAATATCCGATTCTAAGTGTCGTCCTTTTTTTCTTTTTCCTCCTTTTAGTCCATACGATTATGATTATCAATAAATTGAACTGTCAACAAACATGTTTATATGATGACGTTTCGTTGGATAATTACCAATCTTTTCTGATCTTTATAAAATATTTAAAAAATACACAGATATCAACAATTAATCATAATTGCTACCTACCAATATACATTTTTTCGGTTTTCTATTACTTTTCATAGAATTGCGATCAAATCAAACCATAAAAATAGTCACTTAGTCAAGCTGAAAATCACATATATCAAAAACAAAATAGAAGAATACCCAATCCTTTCTCTAATAACCAAACCGAATTATCAATACCAAATTAGATGGACCATGTGTGCAGTATATATAAACAAAAATATAACAAAACTACAAATGTATCCTATATTTTTTCGAACTTGATTTGCATTGATAAGATTTGTTATGAAAAGGTAAAGCAAGAACCTTAGTATTTATTGCTTTTCCCCATCATGAGTACTATTATTTTTATTATGATTGAATCTATGTCTACGAATGTGATCAGAAATACTTATCTCAATAAATTTATTCGGATAATCATTATCTCTTTAGATATTTTTCACTAATTTTATATTAAAAAAGTGAAAAGATCTATCAGATAACAATAAATCTCTATCGATTAGATTAAATATAATACTACGCTTTTTTTGTACAGTTATTGTATATATGTGTATTTTTTAATATTTAATAAAGATTGGAAGAGATCGGTCATCATCCAATGAAACGTCTTCATATAAAAATGTTTATTGTTAATTCATTTTATTGATAAGCTCGTGGACTAAAAGGAGAAAACAAAAAAAGGAATGGCTCTAACAATTGGATTTTTCAGTTAATTTTATACGTATTGAGAGTGAATTTCCCAAAAAAAATCCTATAGATTATTCTAATAACTTACTCATCAAGAGCACGAACGGAATCATACACATTTTTTGGTTCATCGATATCGGCGTGCTCTCTCGCTCTTAATTTGATGTCAATCTCAAATTTTTCTCTTGAGTATAAATTAGGATCGCTAGGATGCGTGTGTTCATTAATCAATTGTATCACTTCGTTTTCGACATAAATTTCATTTTGTGTATAAATATACGCAGAGCATAAACACTGATCCCTTCGAGCACATCTATACTTTCGCAAATTAGAAGTGTCTCTATAGTATATATAACCTGCGTGGAAATACCGCCAAGAGTCCGGCTGTTTTCCTGCCAGCCTCAGCATCGTTATTCCTATATTAAAATGAATTCATGGATAAGATAATAAGTTAATGAATAAATATACACATAAATATATACAGTCTACAGTATAGTAAATATATATTATGTGCATATATATTATTTTAGATTTCTAATAAGGAAATTGGATTTGATGGTTATGAAGAAAAATATAGTATAGGTGGACGCTGAGCCGAGTTTAGGCATGGGCCTACCTGGGCCCAGGCCGGGGCCCCGCCGTGGAAACCAGGCCTCGCGAACATGAAAAATATCAGCTACGTAATGAAGAAACACTTGAGAAAAATTTTAAAATTGCCAATAAATTTGCGCAATACTAGATAAAATTAATGTAAATATTTTTGAAAGGAATTGGTAATCATTCTAACGGAATAGTATTCAAAATCAGATTCGAATTTAAAATTTGAACCCAAAATAAATAGAGTGAAGGTAATACGTAGGTTTTTCTTTGAAGAAACGTAGAAAGAATTCGACTCGCGAGTTACTGACTGAGCAACCAAACGAAAAATATCACTGTTCGAAATCTCGGTTCGACTTTGTAACATATTAAATATTATATAAAATATTGATAAATTTGAAAGTATCACGCATGGTTAGGCATTTTTCGTACTCATTTTATAAGATTTATCAGGCTTGAAAATTTAATTCATAGTGTACAGACCTGATTATTTATATAAAAGATACAATAATTACAATAATATTCCCAAAGATTGCTGATCACTTGTTGCTCTAGTTACTTTCTTATTGTATGTAAATTCTATCAATATAACATGATAAATTGATATCATTTAATTTTGAAAGAAGATTGTATACGATATTTTTTACGGTATGGTCGGAGGGATCCGCGAACTTGAAACCTCGCGAGTTTTCGGAAACAGTGTCGCCGAGCGTCGCGTGTCATTTTTTTTTTCTAGGGAGTCGAGAGAACAGTGGCGTCGACCATATTGCAAAAACAACAGAGTTTGTTTAGTCGTGCGTGCTTTCAACGTATGTACATACACGGTATTAGCAAAATACTGAGCCGTATAAACGTTTTTCCATCTCATTTTCGACTGCTCAAACTGTAGTGATGCACATACCTATTTAAAAAATAAAAGTGACATACATATAAAATACAAATAGGATCAAATCGCACTCTATTTCTATTGTTATTTTGTTGGACTTGTACGAGATTGTAAGTATGCAAATCATATTGTCTCTTGTTTGTTTCAGTTATTTAATAAATTGAATTCCGAAAGGAATTCCTGTGCAATCTCGTTGATACATTATGTTATTTTTTAAAGGTATGTTGAACTTAGCTAGAATGAATAACAGAGTCTACGAAAGTGGAGCTGCGAAACGAAAGAAAGCCAAACAAGCTTCAGCTGCAAGGGACAAGTTACCGAAAATTGATGCGTTTCTTGCAAAAACAATACCTGCTCCCGAAGGAGGAAACATTGAAAATGAACAAGGTAATTTGGAAAATGCTCAAAATGGAAATGATAAGAATAAGGCTGTAAGTAATATTAATAAAATCGAAAATGTTGCGGAAGGCACAAAAAACTGTATTGAAGTTGTCGATGAGTGTGCTATGCAACAAGGTGAACGAGTGGCAATCGTTGACTGTGTATTAAGTACTCTAAGTAGTGGTAACAGTGAGATTTCTAGTTATGAGCTTGATCCAGAGCTGTGGAAAATTGAGAAAAATATGGTTGATTATTGGATTAGACAGGGGCCTCATAAAAATATTGAGAACGATTTTTGAAAATCCTTGCGCGTATATCAAGAAGGCGAAAAAATAAAAAATCGTTATCTCACGAAGAGTGCTTTTAAGAGAGAGCTTCCTAACGGCGAACTGGTTGATCGCGAATGGCTTATATATTCTCCAAGTTCCGGTAGAGTGTATTGTTTTTCTTGTCGTCTTTTTTCTGACAGCAATTCACCCTTCGCAATAACAGGGTTTAATGACTGGAAACACGCTCATGAAGCTTTGAAAGAGCACGAAAACAGCATAGACCACAGAAAAAGTATGCTGACTTACTTAGAACGGAAAAAAGCAATCAATTGTATTGACTCTCAGTTGGCAAAACAATTTGCAAATGAACAATTGTATTGGAGAAGTATTCTAGAATTTTCAGTTGACGTAATCGTTTTTTTAACATCGAGAGGCCTCCCTCTTCGAGGCAGTAGTGAGAAATTCAGAGACAAAAGCAATGGCAATTACTTGGGAATGTTAGAGTTGATTAGTAAACACAACCCTCTACTAAGGGAACACATAAAAAAGTATAGAAACGCAGGGAGTGGAGTGACTAGTTATTTGTCTCATTCAATTGCTACTGAACTATCAGAAATTTTAGCAATGAAGTTGCTAAATCTTATTATAACGGAATTAAAAGTTGCCAAGTATTATTCTATCTCAGTAGATTCTACCGTTGATAGAAGTCACACTGATCAACTAACGTTCGTCGTCCGGTACGTTATAAACGGAAAAGCAGTCGAACGATTTCTACAATTCATACAAATTACAAAGCACGACGGCGAATACTTATTTAATGTCGTAGTCGGATTTTTAAATCACTATGGCATCGCTATTGCTGATTGTCGAGGACAGGGGTACGATAATGCACCTAATATGTCTGGCTGCTACAGTGGCTTACAAGCAAGGTTTAAAGTACTCTGTCCCGAAGCCGTTTTTGTTGGTTGTTCTTGCCATTCGTTGAATTTAGTTGGCGTACATTCATGTTCTTGCCACGTTGAACTGATATCATTTTTCAACCATGTACAGGGTCTGTACGTTTTTCTCTCGGCTTCGCCGTATCGATGGAATGTTTTGAATTGTCAAAATATAACTTTAGTATTGAAGGCATTGTGTGGTACGCGTTGGTCTGAAAGAGCAGACGCTGTTCATGCATTGAAAGAAGGTTATCCTAAAGTTATAGAAACTTTGACGCTCTTAAAAGACGATGATAGGTTGGACAAAGATGCTCAGCACCAAGCTTCCTGTTTACTCAGGAAAATGAATGAAATAGAAACAACTTTTCTCACGATTTTCTGGAATGAAGTATTAGCTCGTATGAATAAAACATCCACAGTCTTACAAAAAGAGAGTGCGCATCTGGCTGTTACTGTAGAATTACTTACGTCGTTGGAAGTTTTTGTAAAAAGCTTGCGAACGAAATTTGACCACTACGAAGCTGAAGCTAAAAAATTAGTAAGCACTGAAACCTATAAAACCATGAATAAACGCGCTAAAAGAATAAGTACCAGAATTGAGCATCCAAGTAACTCGTCAGAAAATACAGTTTTACAGGGGAAAGAAAAATTCAAAGTCGAAGTTTTCTTCGTAGCAATCGATAAGCTGTCAGCTGAATTATCTCGCAGAAGTGAGCAATACAAAATTTTGTTGGAAAGATTTTCTTTCATTATAGATATTTTGGATTTAGATGACAATGGGATTGAAAAATCAGCTGAGAAATTATGTGAATACTATCCAAAGGATTTGGACAGCGCAAATATAGCTTCAGAGTTTGTTCACTTCAAGAGTTATCTGTCAATCAAAGCTGAATTCAAAGGAAAAGTGTGCATCGGTGAAATTTACAAATTTATGTATGACCAGAATCTCTTTAAGGTTTTTACGAATGTTGAAATTTCACTAAGAATTTTGTTGAGTATTATGCCAACCAGCGCTAGTGGAGAAAGATCTTTTTTAAGACTCAAATTAATTAAAGACGAGCACCGCACTACCATGTCTCAAAAACGTTTGAATGAGTACAGTCTTCTATGTATTGAGAATGAATTATTAGAGACAATAGATTATAAATATTAAATATATATAATAAATATATATTAAAAGAAATTATAGAAGAATTTGTCAATAAAAAAATTAGAAAGAAATGTTTTTAAATAAAAGCGAGAGAAAAAGAATGTTCTAAAATAATAAATAAGATTGGATATAAATGTTGTTTTTTTTTCACCCAAATAGTTTAAGAAAATCATTTCGAAAATTTCTTGGCAAATCATCCGCCTTAAGTAGGCCCCGCCGTCTTTTTGGCCCAGGGGTCGGGAAAGGTCTAAACTCGGCTCTGATGGGAAGAAGGAGCCCGAATTGCCGATACACATGGACGGCATTGTAAATTACAATCAGAGTGTTTCTAGGGTATCTGGAATTCATACTACTCCTATTGGTCTTGAAAGCGCATGTTTAGCACATGTATAAGTAATGGAAAAAATAGTTTTAGTTTATGAGTGGTATCGAAACATTGTTTATTAATAATTTGAATCAAAAAACCATTTTATTTACTTATTTGCTTACATCTATGTTTCTAATTGTCGTATCGAAATAAGACTTACAATATGAGATTTCTGTTAACATTTTTTACTTGGTTCAATATCTTTCAAAATTAAATTAATTCATTTTAACAACAATAATTTTCATTGTTTGCAGAAATGTTAAAAATTATAAATGATTATATGTACTAGTCTTCTTTATACAGTATATAACCATTATCACAACCATATTCATTTATCCAGTATATAACCGTTTATCATTTTTAATATTTCTGCAAACAATGCAAGATATTGTTGTTAAAATAAATTAATTTAATTTTAATAAATATCAATCCTTGTGTTAAATTTTATCATAAATCTAATGCCGCAAGGCTTATCTCGATACGATAACTAGAAAAAAAGATATAAACAAATACTAAATAAGTACTGCTTTTTCATTAAAATTATTAATAAACATTGTTCTGATACCTCTCATAAATCAAGACTATTTTTCTTATTATTTACGCGTTCTTCCTCGACGAAAGTAAAAATAACGGGGTGTTCGGAAAAATATATATTTTATTATTTTTTCGGACACCGTAATGACTGAACTATACATATGTATTATTTATATTGATATTATTTATTATATTATCCCTAAAAATAAAGATATAAATTATTTTAATATTTTAATAATTTAAATGTTCATAAAAAATAAAAAATAATAAATAAAATTTTCAAAATATGTATTATTATTTAAAAACCATTAATAATAATAATAATAATATAATAATAATAATATACAGCATAAATTTTTTTCAAAATGCCGTCACAATGCGTGCATTCTGCAAGCATTTCGTGCAATAGAACGGGAAGGCATAATGTCGGCATAATTCCCGCACGCCGTGCCAAACGATGGTTACCATGCGTGCTGTCACAATGCAGGCACAATGAGCGCACGGCGTGGAAGGCACGGCGTGCTTCCAGAACGACGTCAGAATGCGGATACACTTGGACGTCCCGTGCCGGCGCATTCTGACGGTATAGTGCCGGCACTGTGTTATCTGGGTATGGCAACATTGCATAGAAAAACTGCTGCGTTCTGCCATACCGATCACTGATGAAACTCTTAATCGAATAAACCTTATGATACACATTGCCATATACAGTGGCACATGCGCGGTGCGTAAATCGCGCAAACGATAGGTTCATCGTATTTTTTTACATCTTTTTTATAAACTATTAATCATTAGCAATTTTCGTCGACTGGGCAAATTAAATCTACTCATGGGCAATTTTTTAGAACTTCAGGAAGTTAAAAATAATGTATAATAAAAAAAATATTGAAGTATGAAGTTGCATGTGGTAAACTGATTATTATTAATTTATTACGTAGAAACTAGAGTTGGGCAAATAAATCGAATGACAATCAAGTTGGGCAATTAAAAACCTTTCGAATTGTATATTTTTATTTTTATTTACATTAATTATGCAGGTTGGACAGGGTGGGGTGAGCTGCCTGGGCTGGGAGAGATTTTTCATGCGGTAACACTGGTCGTCACATCGGTTGATCTTGACTCGACATGATACGCATCTGCATGTTTACTTCTGTTAATTAAACTATATAAAACTTTTTTCAAGTATATAAAACTTTTTTAGAATAAAATGTCTCGAAGAATTTATTCGTCAAGTTTTTGGATGAATAGTTTGATGGATCATCTGTTCTTTTCAATCAAGAGATTTAATTTGGGTTTGTAGCTATATTAATTAGAAAATATGAAACTAAGTAATATTATTGTGGTGCTATTTTTACCTTTTACATTGCTTACTTCATCTTTTTTATTATACTTTTAACCTTTAGTTACATTTTATATTAAAGCAATGAATTACCAAGTACTGAATATGATATTTAATTTATCCTGCAGGCTCCTTATAAGTTCTTCCGTCAATATGCATGTATATATGCTAATCTTTAATGACATAATGGATAATCTTTAATGAAAAGTTTAACTTATAATGCGTATCATAAAATACTTAAAAAAAATAAATTGATAAATCAGTGCATTAAAAGTAAACTGAATTAATTTTAGCTTATTTCCTTTCACATTTTTTGTTGTTTTCAAGCATTTGGAATCAACTACTCAGTTTTAAAAGAAATTATTTCAATAATTACAAAGTTGGTAAGGTATGAATCAATTGTCAAACAAATTTAATAAAATAAGTATATGAAAATGAAAGCATAGAAATTTAAGTTATAGATTTTATATTTTACATTTGTCAAAGTTGCATAGACATGGTGCAAGGAAAAGAGATACGGCCAATTCAAAGGTTTTTTAAATACTTTTTGTATAGTATGATATCTTTGGATAAAATTGTTTGACAATCATTTCAATTATACACATGATAAAAAGCTAATACTTGATTGAAAACATAAATATTAATCTTTTTTTTTAAACAGTTGATAGTTATGTTGGTCTTTTTTTCTAATTTCATATATTTTTGTAAGCTAAAACATGTACAATTCAGAGTGAAGATAATTAATAGACCAAAATTAAATCAAGAATTTTAATTTTTTTATTAAGAATTGTCACGATAAATTGTATTAATAATTCTTTTTGTATTTAATGTGTTTGTAGAAAAATTTAAAATTCATAGTCCATTTCAAGTATATATTAACAATAAATTTATTTATCAATTGCTATAAAATTTGATGAAATAAAATTCTTGAAAGTTTTCTTTCAAATATTATAGAAATGAATGTTTTTTATACTTGATGAAATGAGCCTAATAAAATTGACATGAATATTGTAATTATCTATATTTATATACCATTTATTTGTACACATTTCGTATATTAGAACAGTATATTTATATAATCTAATCCAAGAGAAAGTTGAAAAAATCACTGCTATCAATCTGCACAACTGTATGCAACAATTTACACATAGATATAATTAATCTTTAGAAATAAAATCTGATTTCTACAAGACACTAGAAACCATGATTTGTCACATGAAAGTGACAATCACGATCAAGAGGCCATTCTTAATTATATTTTCATATGGTCACATGGTCATGAGCTTAATCATGGTTGAAAGAAAGCCTATTTGAATTTTTGAAAAATAAACTGATTTTTATGAAAAAATTTTTCTCTTTACATTCATGTTTTTTTAGTTTCCTGTATTATAGCAAATGTCTGATATGATTGTTATATAATGATGTTGTATTTGATATCACTAGAAGTTGATTAAGCATGCATACTTGAACAATAACGGCAAAAACTTTTATCTATTCAATATAGCAATTGAAAATATTTGATTCATAACAAAATTTATGAATATAACTCTATATATAAGGTTGAAATTTCGAACGTTCACACCTTACTAGAAATACATATGCGGAATTCGTATAGAATCCGTACAGAAACTGTATGGTTCCCTTTACAATATCTGTACGTTTTCCGTACGATATCCGTCCATTTCCCGTACGGTTTCTGTGCGAATTCCGCGTAATTTTCGTACGTTATCTGTACGAATTCTGTATAACGTCCGTATAAATTATGTAAGAATAAACTGAAATCTAAAAATAATTTATTTTCAATTTTTTACTTATTTGATTACATAAATAATTAGGATATCAGAAATTAATAAAATCAATGGTATGAAAATCTATAATGATAGTTACTTTATTTTAACTAACATAGGGGTAGCTACCCTGTTATCATATCCACCACTAGATTACCAGCTAACGATCGTTTCACTTACTACCACGGTAAGATCTATCATATATGTAAATAAGAGCTTTGCTAAAATGATCAAAGTAAAAGTGCAACGGGCTCCCGGACTATATCCTTAAACGACAATAATCTACTCTTACACAACAATTGTACTGCACAAGACTGACAATGAAGCGTTGATTGGCAGAATTGCTGGTATGTAATACTTCAGCTCCTCAACAAACAAGACTTCCTCTTAGACCTATAAATGGAATCCAGAAGCACCCACGAGAAAATAGTAAGAAATATAAATAGTATACTGAATCTTTCATATGTTTATTCGAATAATTTATACATAAATTAATTTTCAGATCTTAAAGATTCTTTTGCTTGAAAAACAGTTCTCGATAACAGCTCTGATGATGAAAACAGTCGACCAATGTATTCAGGGTTAAATCAGACACAAAGACAACGTAAAAAGAGTAGAAGAGCAACATTAAAACGTCCATCAAAACTTGCAAAATTTTCTCATTTAGAAAAGATACAATGCAAAAGTGATCAGGACAGATTTCAGATGACGTCATCACAGGATTCTGACTCTGATGACGGGACCCCTTAAGAGCGGTTAGTCTTTGAACGTTTTACTGTTGATGGTCGGAATGATGAACAGGTTTGTTTAACAGTTATGAAGTTTTAAATTTGAAAATAAGAAATTTTCGACACTTCGTGCGCAAAGTGCGTCTTTCCCGCACGCTCGACAGAAAACGTGCGTTGAAAATCGCACTTTCCACACGTCGTATCAAAAAATACGGTACGGCACATGTTCGGGAAAGTAGATTCTTGTTTCGTGTGGCGTTTACGCCTGAGCGAAGCGAGAATCTTAAAATATTAATTTAAACTATTTTTTTTTGCAAAAAATATCGGAAAAAAACACGTGTTTTCTTTTTTTTCGAAAATTTAACGCCATTTTGTTATTTATGGAAAAAAATTAATTCTGTTAGTAAGTGCAATAGCCACTGACATACCGAATCTAAAACGTTTAATTTTTTTTGTTTCAGATGAACTGTGATCTAGTTTTGCGTCACGCCACGAGCATACCTGCTTTTTGAGGGGTCACGTTTGCCAGCCATTATGGTGTATAAAAAATATTTCAAATAATAAAAAAAAATTTTTTTTGTACTTCCAGACTGTATTTATCAAACCCAAAAACTTTTATATCAATATAATAAATAACTTCAGAAAAAATTCACAAAAATAGCCTTTTTTTGCGCAAGAGCCAGAATGACCCCTTAAGTGAGAGACCGGTATACATAATTCTGAGTAAGACAAGGATAATTTTATCTGCAAAAATATCGGAATTCGAGAAGTATCAGCAGAAGAAACCAGGCAAAGGTAGGTACCTTTGCCTACATGGAATCGAAAAATTTTATTCGTAATCGTAATCGAACCACTGCAGATGATGAATAAGTACAACTACTACTCTAGTTTAAAAAAAAAAAAATTCTATTCAGTTTTTAATCAATGAGTTATGAGTAGATAGCTAAATAAAAAATTTATAATCATTTTTCTTTACGTAACTTAATTATATTACGTTCTTTGCCAGTTTCATTGAAGAATACATTGATTCTTCTTTCTATCAACACATTGTTTTAAATAAGTATTTTGATTACTGAAAGAAAGGTATAGAAGTATTTTAATAATCGTTAATATTATTATATGTTTTATAAAGTTGTATGCCAGTTTTGTAACAATTATTCTAATATAATCATTAATGCCAAATAGAAAGCTGCATTATATATTTGTAAACTAAATAACATATGATTGTTTTCATTACATATGCATAAATAAAATGATGCGTTAATTACCTCTAATTATTCAGTTCTATTAATTTCTGATATCCTAATTATTTATAAGATCAAATAGGTAAAAATGAAAATAAATAATTTTCAAATTTCAGTTTATCTTTGCATAATTTATACAGATATTATGCAGAATTCGTATGGATTGCGTACGAAAATTACTCGAAATTCGTACAAAAACCATACGGAAGAAGTACGGTTTTTTTTGGAAAAAAATCCGTACGACAACCGTACGGATATCGTATGGAAAACGTACAGATATTGTAAAGGGAACCATACGGTTTCCATACGGATTCTATACGGATTCTGCACATATATTATAGTGAACGAAAAAATCGAAAATCGAAATTAAGTAAGGCGACTTAATATATTGGTTCGAGGCGTCAATACAAGTATAACGATGTTAAAAAGTTACTGTACTCTTTTCTTTCCTTTAAAATAACCCTTATAGTCCATAGTATACTATGGTATACAACATGTCAGATCATAATGTTTACATACCCTCAGAAAAAGTATACATACTTGGAACGACATGCAACTATCCCTAAAGGATTTTTCTTAACGCCTCCGTATACGCTGATATCGCTAGAACTTTGCGTTTTCAGCTAACAATTTTTTATTGTTCAAAAATTATTGACGGAAGTACGTTTCAAATTAAAGTTTAAACAACTACATAGCAGTAAAAAAATATCCCTGCTCGGAACGACCGGGAACTACCTTTAATGAATTTTTTAATGCATTCATATACGCTAATATGTTTTATATTGTAACTTAAACATTCCTATATCCTTAGAAAAAGTTTGGATACTTGGAACGACCGAGAACTACTCCTAATGAATTTTTTAATGCCTAAAGGGTAATTTCACTACGCTCTTCGCGTTTTCAGCTCACAACTTTTGATTGATCAAAAATTTTAATGAGTCTGAAATTCGCAACGTTAAAATACAACGAAAAAAAAAAAAAAAAAAAAAAAAAAAAAATTCCAATAATAATCATTAACATTTTTAATCGAAGAATATAGCCACATTAACATATAATTCTATAATATGAGGGGTGTTCAAAAAGTAAGATGACTTTATGGTTTTCTCAAAAAATATTTATGTTGTCTTCTTTAACGTAATCCCCGTTAAATATAATACACTTATGCCAGCGCTTTTTTCAATCATCGAAGCACTT